TCCTGAAGAAGGCCAGAGCGTACGACAGGCGAAACGTCGGGAATATGGCAATAAAGATGAGGACAACAGTTCGAAAAATTTAAATAGTGTAAATAGTTATATATTTTGGAAATATAGACAGATCCTGAAGAAGGCCAGAGCGTACCACGGACGAAACGTCGTGAATAAAGATGAGGACAACAGTTCGAACAATGTAAATATTTACAATATCTGATGTCAGAAATATAGACAAATGATGACAGTTGTTTCTGTTTTGTTTTCTCGAAATTATCATTAATTATATTCTTTTTCGTCTTTGTTTCTATTATCAAAACGTTTCGGCTATGTCACCCACCGGTCTTCATCAGATGCCTGTAGATCCCGGTTAATAAATGCTATAGAGCATACCTAACCCTAACCCATCTAAAGATAGGATTTTTTCCTTTTTTAGTTTTATCCACCTGACAGGGGCTACATAATTCAATTGATTTTTTTTTTCTGGTTACTATTTTACATATTTTGCCCCCACTGTAATGTAGTTCCCCAGTCGCGTATCTATGAATTCTTCCATGGTAATTGTATTAATGAACATTCCTCTATGATAAGAAGACATTACTAATTTAAGCGCAGGACTAGATTGGCGTCAACGTGTCATCATTTTACTTTTGAAATGGTTAGACGGAACCGTCTGTTGTAAGCTAACAGCACTTTTCGTTCGTGGAACTCGCTTTTTCTTTGCCAATTCAGTTTTGGATGGTGAAAAATTCAAATGCAATGTCGGTTTTCTTAATTTCCACGATTTTATTTAGTAATCCTCTTGAATGCATAGGCCGGTAGGCGTAATTCATACTTAAAAAAGCGAACAACAACAACAACAACAACAAAACAAAAAAAGCAAAAAAACAAAAACAAAACAAACAGAACTTCTAACCAAACACGTGTATCCGCTTAAAATAATATTTAGAAAAATTTACTTGTTCAAACACAAACACACACACACACAGATACACACACACACACACACACAGGTACACACTCACAGGTACACACACACAGGTACACACACACAGGTACACACACAGGTACACACACACAGGTACACACACACACACACACACACACACACACACAAACATATGCATACGCGAGGCGCACAAATACACGCACATGCGTGACGCCCCCCCACTCAGTCTGATTACTCAATTGAGAAAATGCGCCCTCAGCAATTTCTTTCTATTACACAGGCCGGTAGACGTCATAAATAGTTTAAAATAAACAGTGCGTCTACTCATATGCGAATATTCACTTAGATAAGGTTTGAAGTTCGCTATATATATATATATATATATCTATATATATATATATATATATATATATATATATAAAGAAATATAGTCTTAAGGTGTGCTATATTTATGGAATAAAGTGCTCAATATCAGAGATAGAGCGTGTGTAAATATAAAAGTGAACATAGAAGTCAACACGTAGAGGCGATATATATATATTACTTGCGAGTTTTTTATAAATATCTTTTATCAAAGCACAAATAATATTGATATGCATACCTTTTCTTCCTTTCTTTCTTTTATCTAATTTTCTTTATTTTTCTGTTTCTTTCTTTTTTATTTTTTATTTGTTTCAATTTCTTTTATATATCTATATATATTATATATATATATATATATATATATATATATATATAGATATAGAGAGAGAGAGAGAGAGAGAGAAAGGAAAGAGAGAAAGAGTCCACTCTTATAGTTAAGCACTTTTTATTCCTGACATCGAGCGCTTATTCGCATAAATATTGCTTAACTTAAAAGTATATTTTGATAGATATATATATATATATGTGTGTGTGTGTGTGCGTGTGTGTGTCTGAGAGAGAGAGAGAGAGAGAGACACGGCGCGTTTTTGTCAGTAAAGTTGGATGAGAATTAAAAAAAAATATAAGGTAATTTATGAAAATAATTTACTTGATATGTTTCTTCGGTGATTGGGCATCAACCGAAAATAAATTTTATTGCAACGAATACAATCGATCTTATCAAGAAAAAAAAACAAAAACAAACAAAAAAAAAACTTACCATTAATCGTTCCAGGAGTGGCTACTTACTTTAACTGCATCATTAATAAAAAAAAAAAACAAAAAAAAAACAAACAAAATCAAACTATGTTCCTTAAGACTAATGTTATTAAAGGCAACAGATGTTTTGTGTCAATTAATTTTATTGATCAACTTTTCCAAGTTACTAATAATCCATCTCAGATGAGGAAATTCCGTCAGACATCATCCCAAGTTTATTTCGGAAAAAAATATGGTCCAGCGAATTGAATTTTCTTTTCGACAACACTTTTTAGAGTGTTGATATCTTTGTAAGCCGCTTGATCAAACAATTTAAATTGTATTTTTGCAAAGGAAAATGTTATTAAACACAACAGACGTTTTGTGCTGATTAATTGTTATCGATTAACTGTTGCCTTTAATAAGATTTGCCTTTGAAGAACATTTGTCGTCTATATACACACAATATACGGGCGCCCACGAGTGGCGTAATGATTAACAAGTTTGTCTCGCCAGAACAATTACGACTGAGTAGTGAGTTCGATCCTCACTGGGTACCCCCTAATTTCGGCCTTGTGTCACATCTAAGCTACGCTTGGAAAATCACTGTGGCACCTCGAGGTGGTGTAATGGTTAGTAAGCTTGGCTCGCTAGAAAAATTACGGCTGAGTAGTGTGTTCGATCCTCACTGGGTGGCCCCTAATTTCGGCCTTGTGCCACATCTAAGCTATGCTTGGAAAATCACTACACACAATATACATATGTATGTATGCATCATAATGGAATATAACAATAATATAATTAAATCAGTTAAACCAGACCAAGGAAAACCGCACGTACACATAGAAAAGATAGCAAAGAAAGGCAAGAAGAAAAGACTAACCTTTAATTATAAGAGAACAGAATGTATAGTCGTTAGCAAGACAGACGACCAAATGTGAGCTCCGAATGGGCAGATACAGAAATGTACCTGTGTAGTGATGTCACTGACGACGGGGAATGTGGCACAGAGATCCGAAGTTGTGACAGAATAGTAAAATATGTTGATATTAATAATTAAAAAGGGAAAGACAAAAAGGAAAGAGCACTGAATTGCTTTGCCATATTTAACTCCCTATATGGCAGTGAATCTGGGACAATGTTCTTATAGGCGAAGGAGAGGCACGAAACGACAGTGACGTGATTCTGCAGACGTGTGGTGAGAATACCATGGACTGAACATGTGAGCAAAAAGGAAATCTTAACGAAAATATTGGAACATAAAGAAAGTGAACATTTCTGTTAGAGATTATAACAAAGGTAGGCAACAATTATAACCTTCCCGGCTAAGAACTGCCATTGTACGCCAACTGTA